GAGAGAGAGAGAGAGAGAGAGAGAGAGAGAGAGAGAGAGAGAGAGAGAATGGAAATGGTTGAATTGTTCGGTCGACACATCGTTATCTGCATTTCACCTGGAAATACTTATGTTAGCCTTGTCTACATTGTACTGCAATTATATTATTATTGAATTATGAGCAAACATTTAAAGGTTAAGACGTAAATGAGCAAATCTAGTCCATGTTAACTACTTACTTCTGCTTGCGCTATCGCATTTGCATGATAAAATGTATATAGTGTCTCAAACGGGTATGATTGGTGTAAACAGCTAGTGTTTACCATTTGGTCCACATGTGCTCGTGTGTGGTGTTGTTGGTGCTTGATCCGTTTGTGATCTCTCCATGCGCGATTGTTTACATAACGCCGGGGAACGGAAAGAAATACAAAAATGCAACGAAATGCAAAGAAAAAAAATATGTAACGTACTTAAATTATAACCAGTTCTCCCGGTTTTTCTTTTCCTGCGCTCTCAGTACAAATATCACATATTTCTCTTTCGTTTGTGAATGCATTTCTCTATGTTTCGTTGCGGTTAATCCGCGCTATTCACGTACGATTCAAGCGCATATTTGTTTTCTTCGTCACCATATTATTCTGCATTAGATGCTTTAATTCCAATTTGTCGGCATGTATAAATTACGAATGATCGATGTGTCATGAAATCTCTCGCCTCCAAATGGAAGATCTGAAGAATGATCCGATGCATCGTGCTTAGTGTTCATTGCGACTGATTCGATCAGATCATCATGCGGATTAAAACTGGGCGAAGAGGCATATGGTAGAAACTTAATGGATGGATAAAATCTTAATCGACTGTCTTTTGCATGTCAGTTACTCTAATTGTCCGAAACGCTTGTTCGATGTTAAGGGCCTCACACAATTGCTGTTACTGCATTTTCCAAAATACAATCGATTTTCGGTGTGGAACCGATCGCGCAACTGCTGTGCGCACAGACATGCGTTCGAAATGTTTGATTACCGTTGATAAATATTAATACGATGTCTTTTATCATTTTATGTGTTGAAAACAATGGAAAGAGAGAGAGAGAGAAGAGAAGAGAAGCGAAAAAAACAGAGTAATGAGATAGGTGTATGGCCTTAAGTTGATTGTATTGCTGCGAGCAGCACACACATTAGCTTGTCAGTGTGTGTGTGTTCGATGTGTGGCGGCACCCAACATTCGGTTGACGGTTTAATGTTGCTTTATTTAAACGAGATACGCGTGCTCAATGCTTGAGCTCTACACACATGGCTGCATACATATGCACGAACCTCAATACCTCGGCGGTATGATTCTCTCGTTCGCGTCATACACCGTCGACGTAGTCGTCGTCGTCATCGCCGTCGCCGTCGCCGTTTGTCTTACAACAAATTTCAACTACTGAACTATACCGAAGAATGAGAGAAAATTGGCAGAGAAAAGAGTAAAAGAAAGAAACACACGAAGAAACAGCAACAACAACAATCGTATTAACAATAGCAATGTGCCAAACACGAAACGAACAATAAATCGAGAGACCCCACTTACCGCACATTTTGATCGATCACACCAAAAAATCTTTCGTTGAATCTCTTCATGGGTATAAAAAGAGAACGTAAAAGTTGCTCACAGCACAGTTGATACGAAATTTTTGTGTGTTTTTGTATTTAGTAGAGACCGGATTGTAAAGCGACGGTAATAATCTTTCGTTTCGGTTGTCTGGATTCACAAAATTCAGAATCATATTGGTTACAAATAAATATAAAAAAAATACTTTTCTTTCTGTCCACATTCTTTCTGTTTTTTGATCAACGGTTTTTGCTTTGATTGAATACACAACCATTTTTGGAAAATCGGTTTTCGTTTTAGTTACAGTGAATTAATATGATATACAATCTTATTTTACTCCGTCAAAAAAGTGCTTCATTTTTTATTTGAAAAAAATAAAATAAACCGAAACATCTTTTTTCACATCTCTCGTCTCTTCGATTTTATTTTTTTTTTAGATCAAATTCGATTCAAAATGAAACAGTGCTTAGTTTTGATTATTGCCTTGTTCGGAGCCGGTACGTATAAAATCTAATTATTTCATGTTTTTTTTTTAAATATCGAATTCATGAGAAGAAATTAGTTTTCAATATGGAAATACCAAAAAAAACGGACTAATGCAACCAAACATTCACTCAATTCGATCGAAAAATAATGGTGATAAATTGATTCTCGAGAACAACAATGAAAGTGATATAAATATTTGGAAAATATATAGAGAGAAAAATATGAATAAAAACCAAAATAATTGATGAAACAGTGATCCAAATGGATTCGTTCTGTGCAAGTTAAAATTTGAGATGCAAGAACCATGCTTCTGATTTGAATCAATTGTTCCTATAAGATTCATTCAAGTGGACAACATTGAAATGAAGCATGTTGTCTCTGGCTCTAATTCTAAGGAACAATTCTTGGATTTTGATCAATTTATTTTTCATTATTTTTCCTGGAACCAATGACATAGTTAGAACAATTCTGGGAAATGCATTTTGAGAGGAATCCAGTTCAAAGCATTTTCCAATTGTCATGCAATTAGAATAAGACGAATTGTTAGAACGATGAAATTTTCCCGGTATTTGTGTTGGTGCATGAGAAGAGCTGAATGCCGTAAAACGTTAGAAATTATATGAATGCCATTGTAAATTGCAAATTGGAACTAGGGCAATATTGAAATTTCACATAATCTCAATAGCTTTCTTTGTGTTGAAGTATACAGAAAAGAAATGGGGCTCACGAGGGGAACCTTAATAAACACTTTTAGATTATGAACGCGCGAAACTGGGATGAAAAAAAAACAAAATGAGACCGAAACAGAAAATGATCAATGCATAAATCATCTATTTTCCATAATAAGCAATTATTTATGATTTTTCTTCTTCTTCTTCTTTATCGTGCATATGCTCATCGCATCTTTTCACATTCATTCATTCACTTTTCTCTGTCGTTGACGACAACGTAGATGCGCATTGCGCATTCGCGCTCACGCGCATTCAATTCACCGTGAGTGTGAGAGAGTGACGGTGATCTATTATTTCTTGTGCACACACAGTCTCTGCATTTTTTTTTCCATGTTGTGTTGTGTTTACTTCTGCTTCGCTACTTCTTTTCAGTTCATTTTTTTTCTCGTTGCATTTCTTTCTGCTGTTATGGCGTTTTCATCTCGTGTTTTTTTTATTGCATGCATAATTCCATGTGCATTTTAATTATGATTTTCAATTTGAACCATGTTCTTCTACATATCTGTATGGCAGTAGTAACAGAGTAGATGGTATATAGCGAGAGAAAGAAAGAAAAAAAAACCAGCCCCAAACTTATATACTATCTAATGTTTTGATTTTCGTCCATATTACCCGAGAGCCGAGTTGGAGTTTCTTTTTCAGCGCGTAGAGTTTTTTCTTCCATTGCTTTGGTAATTGTTTGGTACATTTAGTTTTCAAAATAGAAAAGAAATTGAGTGTGAGTGTGCTTTTGATCACTGACTGCCATTGTTGTTATAGCTATTTTTGCTTTTTGCTCGTTCATTTTTTTTTCTATACCTATGTTTTTGAGACTACTTTTTCTCTCTCTCTCTCTCTCTCTCTCTCTCTCTCTCTCTCTCTCTCTCGTGAGCCATACCTTCTTGTTATAGATGTATCAGTTGTGTGTTTTTTTGTGTTCGTTTCATTGTTTCCAATTTCACGGCGTAAGTGAGTTAAGAGGAGAAATGAGACGCAGAAGAAAAGATAGCAGCAAAAAAAAGCATAAGCAAAACGACATGTGCAGAAGAGAAATTCCAATATGAATGTTCGCGATTATTTTCTTTTTCTAATTAGTCGGTGCGCATAAGAAATTTTTGTTGGTACAAATATACAGATGATGAGTGCGGTGCTGACTATAATAAGAAAGGAAAACACTAGAAAAGCAAAAAGAGCAGCTTGGCAATCGGTAAATTGCAAGCGAGAAAAAAAACACACACACACACACATAAAAAACAAAGCTATAAAACAAAATCAATTCAAAAGCAAAAGCTAGAGCTAAAGAAAATGAATCGAACATAAGCAGCTCACTTTGAATGAGACGATAAAATCGACTATAACGCAATATTTTTTTTTCAATTTGTTTTTACGATTTTAATATTGTTTTTTGCACAAAATTGCACATCTCGTCAAACATCGGTATTTTCTATGTGAATTATATTGTCATCAGCGTACGATTTAGTGCACACTTTTCATGTTCTAGAATTTCGATTGGTTGCAAATCATTCATGATAACCATAAATAATGAGTCAGTATACATGCCGGCAATCTATCCAGACCGTAGATTGATTGATGATTCGTATTGCATTTCGTCACACTGCAAGCGAATTGAACATTGAGCAGGAAACATTGTGTTTTCATCATTTTTCAACACAAAGAAACTGTTCTAATTCTACTCGTTGCCAGTAGAAATTTTCGAGAGAAAAAAAACACGAAATAATCTCATGCGGCTTTAAATTTGTAAACCAGTAAATAGTTCAGAAGTATATTTACTGATTTTTTCAATGTGGATCGAAACCCAAAATCGAGTAATTAATTTTCCTATGCATTTCAAACTAAAAATAAATCGAATTCAACATTTACTTGATTCGGCATATCGAAAATGGAAATTCGGTTTTGGCAGAGTGCAAAAGCCAAATCAATTTTTCAAATTGGTTTTTTAGGTTCGTTGCATGGTTAAAGAAGTCTTAAATGAAAAACCTCATAATTAAAGACTGCTCTTAGGATTAACCTCTGGTTCATCATTTGCCGCGCAAACATTTTCTCCCATTCCATTCGAAAACCAATTCAAAAATTAAAGATAAATTGGGCAATTTAGTTTGGTCGATTAATTGTACATCGCAAGAGCAAAATTCCGCACAATTTGAAGTGGAATGGCTTAAATGTATGTTGGTTTATCGACCGGGGCAGTGAATAAATTAAATTGGTCCATCTGTATGTGCACACATATTTTTATTTTTCACATCTAGTGGTGATTGCTGCTAATGAATTTGGTAGACCAGAAAATATTCCATTTCATTTCAAATGAATCCCCTGAAAGGTATCAATCCAACATAAATGGATAAAGATGCCGTTTGATTTATTTATTTTGTGTTCAATTTTCACTTTTAATTGATTTTCTCTCTCAGCGCGCATTAAATTCCGATCAGTGTATGTATTCGATGCGATGCGATGCATTATATAAATGGCTGCCCGAATAAGGGCAACTCTAGTTCACAATTAGATTTCAAGTTTCTACCTCAAACTAAAAGTAGCTTCAACATTTTGTTTGTTGTTTTCTTTCGCTTTCAATCGACCAGAGAGTGAAGCTGTGCACCACATTCTGAGCGAATGAAATATTTACCTGAAAGATGCAAGCTTCAATCATTTGTGATCGCGTCAAATCAAACCACCCGGATGAGGATTGTTGTTGTTTTTTTTTCTCGCATACCGGAACATTATCGGTTTCAGGTTGAAATGCGAAAATTCGTTAAATGAGTCAAATTGACCCGGCAACACCAACCAACAGCAGCAACAAAAACAAATGCCGCTCAATTCCGAAACGGCATATTCAGAATATTAATAAAAATATATCAAAAGCCATTGGATACCGGTTTCAGTTGAAAGAGACACAGCAACAACAACAACTGAATGAAAAAAAAACTCACCGATTTCAAAGTGAAACTTGATGCCGCAAAATCCCATATCGGGCTAAAAGTGGTTTGCTCTGCTGCAACATTTATGCTTTTTATATCATGTGGGACGCAAAATGTATGTCCATTATGCATGATGATGTGTCTCATATTGATTAAATTTTTTGCTCGGGCGCAATGTGTTTTGTATTTTGTAAGCCGACCAATAAATTCAAGAAAGCCAATTATGCAATAGCCGTGTGTCGGTTGATTTGTTCCCCAAAATACAAAAAAATAAACACATCGGCACACATGCACACACGGAGAGAGAGAAAGAGAGAGAGGGAGGGAGGGAGAGAGAGACGCAGAAATATCATTTTTCCTTAATGCTGGCGATTTTAAATAAAAAATTAAATAAACGGCGGCCTGGCCATAAAAGATATTCTCCTTTCGTATTTTCACTTTTGTTGCTAAAAAATAATAAAAACAAGTTATTCGCTTTTTCCGTCTGTCTTTCACTTCTCACTTCTCCCGGCACTTCTTTCCGTGCAATGCATTTGCAACGTGAGAGCACGCTCGAACCGATTTCCAACCAACTCGATCGACCGAATAAGAAAAGAAAGAAATGATCATATGGAAAGGAACTAGCTGAACAATTTCCGAGCCGAACAATCCAAAATGTATTCGTGTCAATTTGGATTAAGCGACAAAATCTGTTGGAAAAAAATAGTTCTATTGTCGTGAATATTAATAGGTTACATACACACACACATACATATCTGTAACTTGTTAATCATAGTAATGTTCCGGCAGCTAGTGAGTACGTCGTACACGTATTGCAGACAAAATGCATACAATTTCAGGCATGCACACCGTTGTGTGCACCATTAATTGCAGCAATGTTGCTTTCAATCCACTTTCAATGGAATCTCATTTCATTCACGCAGCTGCTCCACTGCGTTCCAACAAGAAGAAAAAACGGCTTTCGTGTGAACCAAGTATAAAACTACACCAAATATAAAATCGGCCATTGTAAAAATTTCGCGACTCGTCGTCATTCCGTTATTATTCTATGTGCTATGGCTCAGTGTTGGCTGTCACAATTTCTCCATCTTGTCGTTGGCTCTGTCTCTCTTGCCAAAGGATTGACATCATTCATATGCTTGTGATGAGGGAGAAAAACACTGCTATTTAATTGTATCTATATACCCGAACAGAGGTCCCTTATGGCTTTGCCTATTGCCTCATAAATCAAATATATCCGTTATTTAATTTCCTGTATCATGTGAATGAAGCTCATTTCCGTTTTTCGATGCATCAACATTTTTATTCTCCGCATGAAGAGGGGCACAAGTGAACGAATCAATGACACACATACGATTCGCTTCATGT